GGCGGTTGAAAGATGTGGGGTGGGGATGCAAGGAGTGGATGAAAAATGAAAGAAAGAGGTGACAGAGGAAAAAGATGGCAGCAGTGGAAAAACCACGCCAATGAGACGACATACACAACCACGAAAAAAAATCATCCTCCGTAGGGACACCACGGAGCCGTCCCCCATAATTCTCTTGAACAAAATACACACCTCATGCCAACCCGGTACCTTGTGTGGGCAATGGGTTGGCCGTGCAGATAGGTACGTTCTAGAGACAGTTCAGGTGGATGTGGATGAGGACCGCCATGAATACAGTGACAGTACGTGGTCCCATCTGGGTAAACATTTGGTTTCCAGGTTACCGTAAAAGGAGTTGGTTTTCTCAAATTAAAACACGCGGTGTTCTCTCTCTTGTGTATCCCGTGGGATCTGCCGGTGTTGCAGGCTCACTCATTGAAAACCTTGCCCACGTGGGGGGCAACGTGGACTCTGGCCGCCTTTGGCCTTTGCAATCCAGAAACAAAGTCAGTCTCCCCTAGCTCATCATAGGCCAAACATACACTCTCATGCACTTGAGTATGAATAGCCATTGAACGGCGGCAATTGGCAATATTAGTGCGCCGGCCCATCAATACCCAGGACATGGTAACATGTATATGAATATGTTAGGTATGTATGGATGTTATGAAGAAGAGATCAAGAGTCTAGTTTGTCTTATGCAGCATGCGACAAGTGTGTCTGGTCTGTAATACTCGCATATACTCTTTCAGGGTTGTCCTGGCGCTTGACTAGGTAAGGTTGCTCGAACAGAGTCGCGGTCGCATCTCACGGTTCATCGGACCAACAAATGCAGCTGCTACACACACTGGATGAGAGGGCGCCTAATAGGGATAGGGACCATATCGAAAGCGCTCAGAGCGGTGAATTTGTCTGGCATGGTGTGGCGGCCAAAATTGTCCTCTTTAGCCAACTATCCGTGGTTCGATTGACTTTCTCAGTACAACCGGCCTCATCTATCATCAGTCGTCATGGAGGTAAGATAATAGAGGCTAAACTATACTCACACAAAACACAAAATACAAGTGCAGAAGCTTTTGAAGGTTGTGTCAATGTTACAAAGAAGGCATGCAGAAAGAAAACACATTGAAAGAACAGAGAAATCCTGCGGTTATACATGGCTCTCTTCTGCTCATCCATCAAAACAAAGCCCCAGTCGACCATACATCCCAACAGTACCCACACGTGCAAGCGGAACACTGGCGAGGACTGCAGGAGGCGAAGAGGCAGCAGAGTGAACCCAACGCCGTAGGCCAGAGGGTCTAAAATCAGCATCATCGGACTAACAGTTCGTCCCTCCATGGATGGCTCAATTCCTCTCGCCGGGATCAACTGGGACTCCCTTCGGACACTGGCGATCCACCACACAACTGGGACAACGACCTCTTCAACTGCGCAGCGGCCTTTCCAGTAGGACAGGATGGTTAAGGCACCCTCAGCAAAAGGAGGGACCTCCCGGGGAAACCGTACAACCTCAGGATGAACCAAGTACGTACATCTTACCCCTATTCTTCTCTAATACCGGTGCTTCATGAAACTTTTGTTCCCTCCGCGAGCATGTTCAATGTGGGTGGGTGACCTACCTCACTGTTGTCGTCTTCACGGTGTCAGTAGAAACCTAACGATTTTTGTAACCACCGGATGGGCTGGATTGGGGAATCGTGCAACCTTTTGGATGGGGTCGTTTCCAGAAGATTGTAGACCGGCCTCTGGCTGCTGGGCGCTTGAATAGTACAGAGTTACGCGCAACACAACCACCTGCGCACGGCTGCCCTCCACTCACCGTCACTCGGCCAATCCCACACAGCCTATTGACTCCGCCCCAATGTACCACTAAGCCTCCCAGCTCAAGATAAACGAGGGGCCCGCAATATCACGAGAACCACAACCAATTCTGTGTGCACGTTCCACCACTTACTCTGGAGGGAATGTCCCCAGCCACAAATACACTGAAAGAGCCCGTCAAGCAAAAACCTACACAATATACCAGTCCACAGCATCGAATTAGTCCCCCTCCCGTCTATACCACGAACACGACTCAATGGCTCCCGGCCAAATCTAATCCGGCTGTGGGTTGATTACTGTTGCTGGGGATAAAGAGAGAGTCTCCGCCCTCGTCTGGTCAAGAGTGGGAGGCAACGGAGATAATGATTCACAACAAATCGGGGCATTGCAACGGATGGACATGAGAGGGTGGGGTTTTGTTGCCGGGCGATCAAACAGCTCCTCGGCAGGTGGACACCAAAGTGGATGTGGGTTGCCGTCGGTGCAGAGGTTACTACGGGAATAGGAGCGAGTGAGATGAGTGAGAAAAGGGCAAGAAGAAAAAAGAGCCCACTCAGAGAACGGTCGAGCAGATCATGACCTATCCAACATCACGCGCCCGCAGGAAGGTAGTCCTGACTCTTTCACAGCCTTTGCGCAGTAAAAAAGTCCAACGAAAGACACTGGCTTTTTCTGTGATTGAAAACTCCCATTGTGCAAACGAACCTTCGGTGGGCATATATATAGGCAATTTTTGGGCAATATGTATCCGAGCCTGCAGTACTTGTGAGTGTACTGTGTTGTCATTGCCTGGCTGCCCAGTGATCGCTGTCCCCGACGTGTGGGAGATCCTTAACCGTCGGGCAATGTGGAGGGGAAACCGTCCCAGCCTACAACTTGAGTCGGCGACTCAGACCCTGAAGTGTAGGCATTCGGAGGAAAAACTCTCACACAAACAGCTGGACCCCAACTCTGCCAAATTCCTGTCTCTCCAACCTCCACATATCTCCACTAAACGAACTTCTCAAAGGTGATGGGAGCCTGCTGCGAAGAACGGTTTTGGTACCCATCCCTGTGGGCGTCGGGACCAACATCACTACATCAACAGGGAGACTTCCACGTTCCTATGGACCACTAAAGAGGGGAGCGTTGGTGGCGAGCAACGCAGCGGTAGATGCCGGGCGTTGGCTTCTCCAGCGGGGTACAAATCTCATCATCCGCTCGGTGACGAGTGAGTCGGAGGACAATTGTATCGATTCCCAGAAAACTTCGGCTGCAGAGGCTAGTCGAGCCAGTTGTGCCTGTACACAGACGCCACACTTCCCCACTGTGGCCGAATGCGTTCCAAACATACCAGTGGTTCGCCAAACTAGTGGGGATAAACATCCTATAGTGCGGGTGAAACTCCTGTTATACAAGTTCAAGGCCAACGACCGAACGCCAGGGGGGGGCATGAAATAATGCTCTCCATCATTTGTGGAAATCTATTGTAATCTTATCTATTACTGTACTTGTTGTATCGCTACACAGATCCACTGTGTTTGATTGTTTACTGCTGCAATGCCGTCACAGGACGGCTAAAATCCGGTAGGAGTAATTTCAAGGCGCTTCCGCCCATGGAGCAGTAATATCTAGCGGAAAAACATTGCAAGCACCACACGAGCGCGCGGCCATGAATTGGCTTGAGGGCTTGGGAAATCGGTTACCTTGTGTGAAGCCACTGTACCCTCAGTGAAACGTCAGACAGGTGAGCGAGTCAGCCATCAGGGCCACACACTCCATATACCCCACCGCCTAGTGGTTGGTGAGGTATCGAGGTTGAAATCTGTATCGTCGAACCATTGTGTGAGGCTGCATGGTCCCACTGTGCAGGGTATTGATACCACCGTTGAGTCACTGTGACCTGAATGTTGCAAGAATCTTGTTGAGGTATCAGCCATGGCTGGGGTAGTGGGGTGCTTCAATACCCACACAAACTCAGCAAGCCAATGTTGTGTGCGCCCCATCTTTATTGCGCACTGGGAACAGGATTGAGCTCCCTGGCAGATGGGTTAGGCAGTCTCCTGACATCGACCCCTATTTTAAAGCACCAGCTACTATGTAGCTTGCCATTGTGCCACCGTTTCTTGTGTTATGCATTTAGCAATGTACTGTCATTTGCGAGCATGACGGAACGTGTTTGTGTTTAAGCTCGGTGTTGATATTGTGCAGGAATCGCCTCTCATACGGTGGGCAGCTCCAACTGCCATCACCTCACAAGAAAGAGGTTTCTCTGGGAGGACTGCACATCTCTGATCCACCCATGACCCTCCCTTGCTTGGGACGGTAGGTAGGAGTCAACCAACGTCCCCTGCGTCAGAGCCGACCTGCCTCGAAGTCAGATGCCTCTACCCCAACATGCACCGTCTCGATTCGTTTTATTGTGTGAAGTTTGGCCAGTCTGTTTGGGCTCTGTATAGTAATGTACATTTGTTCTGTTGAAACTGAGATCTTTCCGGCGGCAAATCGTAGTATCGTGAAGGGACGCCAAGAATGACATCATTAATTGCATCGCACTTCACTGAACTCCTATTTTCCTGTGTCTGATTCACCGAGGCTGGGCTTACCAAGGACCCAACACGGAGGCTCGGGGGATCAACTCCAGCCAGCTGCGAAAACGTGGTGTGTGGAGGCTGTGTGCTGGAGCTGGAGAGCGCTCCCTGAGTCTGCCCTGCTGCGGGCCACCATAGTCAGAGCCACCATCCACACAACCGGTTGGTGAGGTGGCACTGATTAGGCAGCAACATAACACTGTGGTTCCTCGTCTCTTTGTGGCGCTGTGCTTTACTGGAATCCCTATGTTCCATGTTAGGTGTAGGTGTAGCTGCTGCCGGCACCCCTACCTAATCGTGACAGACCTGTCTCTGGCTCCATGGGCCCTTGCTAGCACTCGTAGCTCGTGTTCTACTAGTGATTTCTCGTTTCCTGTCCCCACGATCAAGGTGAATCTGCCTCTCTTCCATCCCCGAGACTCAGTCTCCGCCAACCTGAAGCTGCTCCAGCTGCCGAGAGATGGACCGTCGAGATGAATGACTGCTTAGTGTGCTCTATTTGGGATCCACGTCGTCATCATCACTTGATTATAGAAAACTCTCATCCTTTCTATTCTGTAACTTTAATCCCCTTTCCTCTGGTCATATTTTAGCCTTTCCAGTTTTATTCAACTATAATATATATTTTGGTGATGAAAGCAAGTGAAATTATAATTCGATAAGTATGCTGTGATGGTGTACATACTATAGTGAGGTGGTGGATAAATGAGAGGTGAACAAGACCTATGATAGGTCCTCCAGTTTTCCTCTGAGCATGGAGATAGTGGTGTGGAGTGAGGACACCTGCCTGGCCCACTGTCTGCGCCGAGACTGTGCCTCCTGCAGCTGTCTGCGAAGTCTGGTCACCTGGGCCTGCTGACGCCTCTGTACAACAGATCATTAGTAATACGGTCATGTAACAACAGTACATTAACTCTTGGTCTCACGCACCACGTGTGCACACTACATAATTCGCTACAGAAGGGAGTGAAACATCAAAGTAAGAAGTCCTCTGGTAGATTTGTAAGCAAGTTTGTCCACAGTGGGAGACCCATAGTGTGTATACACTGACTGGTGTCTACTGTGTGAAATAATTTGTGTTTCCTTTGATGTTGCACCGCACATGTTCGGTGTGTGTTGTAGCTCACATGATGTTTACAAAAGATGGATTGCACAAGTGGGCGTCTCGAAATACCCGAACTGAACTTAGTAGTGAGAGCTGATAAACACGAAGTGAATCAAGCAGATGTGCTACCATGAATGAATCTTGCAGGTTTTTGTGCAAGTTGTACACTGTGCAGTTTGCTCACATGTGCATGTATGCCACAGCACACACACCTGCTGCATTGTAGAGTAAAGATTCACCACTAATCACTGCCATTTCCCACAGCCCTGACTCTGAAAACCCTACTACAGTCACTCTTTCCCACTCCATCCACCCAGCCAGTCACGAAAACCTTTGGTAAGCACTCACTAATTGGAATCTGGGCAATATCCATAGTTGGATGGTGAAAGTTGTATATACATGATGCACATACATACATACACACACAGCCAGAAAAGCATCGGGGAGTGTAGAGATTCACCACCAACTGTCATTTCCCTCAGGCCTGACCCTAAAAACCTTACTATTGTCACACTCTCCCATTGATAGTTGTATATACATGGTCCTGATTTCCTGAACTAGTCACCTCTACACTTCAATTATTCATCGTCTCTGAACGCTATTATACACGCAAGCAACCACAGCTTCCACCTGCTAATTTGGCTTCCGCCACCCGGCCAATCGTTTTCAGTTCATAGGCCTTGGAATAATGCCTCCAGGAAGCTGTCATGGTGAATAATGGACGAGGAGCTTCCCAGTGGCAGCAGGGGGCAGGAAATGGCGACAGGCGCCTGGTGGCACGGTTGATGACAGGCAGGAGAAGACTTACTCTGCCAACTTCCACCTCTCTTTTCCACCTCTGCTCCTCCTGCTCGCCTTCCCTCTTCTGCTGGGGCCAAAGAAAGAAATATTATACAATCATATTATACTACGGAAATACTGCTCTAAGGACACTCCTGAAATGTGCTCTCTAATAAGGACACCTTACTTTCCCAAGGAAGAATTCCTGCCTGCATTATAAACCCTGGAATAAGGAATATGGTTGGTGTCAAGATTAGAGAAGTTCCACTGTAGATAGACACCTACATAGATTGTGTAAGAGAGGAGACACACAGGAAAACACAGACCACAGCAGAGGCTGGGGAGAGACCACTGGTAATAGAGCAATTAGTCTCACTATTGATCTAATTAAAGGTAGGGCATCCCGAAGTCTGCTATTTGGCCTTAGAAATCATACCCTGCCTTTGATCTCAGAAGCATCCTCGTCCACAAGGGCACACTCTGTCTCCACGGCAATGATGCTCTCCTGCATTCGTCTCTTTCTCTCTCCACTCAGGATCTCCAGGCCCTCTCCGTGAAGATAGCCAGCCCCTACATACACCAGACACACCACTCTCTCTGAGACACAACTCCAGTTTTACACATAGGGGAAAGGGAATTCTTCCTACACTTGAATTGTATGTTCCTACTTTCAAACTGCAGAACTCATTTCAGTCGGCTCTAAACTAAGGTGTATTCCCCCTTAATTCAAAATTCCCAGAAAAGGCCCTGGACCCTCTTACTCTTCTGCTCCATTTTTGCTTCTTTGCCAGGAGTCTGGCAAGCTCCTGATAGGCCGAGGTGTTCTCCTCAGCCTGAGAGACTCGACGTCTTAGGGCGGCCATCTTTGCCACATACTCTTCCCTCTGTCTCTCTCCTCTCTCCCCCTCCCTCCCCACGGCCTCCAGTTGGGTCCTCATCTCTTCTCTCTCCCCCTGCCAGCCTCGCTAGACTCTCTCCCAGCTCCCTGCACCTGAGACCGGCCTGGGAGGAATCGTCTCTGGCGACCGTGATGGCTCTATTTGCTGCACACACACGTGCAACAAGGTCCTCCAGCCTCTCACTCCCTGTCACAACACCCAATCTGACACACTCACCAAATTTTTCTTCATCTCTCACCTTTTTTCAGTTCTTCCTGGAGGTTGAAAAAAATTGGTAATTGGTATTTTTCACGGGTACTTATTAGCAAAATTTTCACGGGCATTATGTAAGTATAATTATACTTGTAACTGAAGGAGCTGATTCTGTTTCTGCTCCACTTCCTCGTTCTGAGTGGTTTGGGCTGTGGCTAGTTCCGTCGCCAGCTGGGGCAGGAACCGGCACACGTCCACCGCGGGAAGTTGTGGCGCGTGCGCGTCCGGAAGGGGACCGGACATCTGCTTCCGATCAGCCCAGCACTACACCTCTGAACGGTCCTTAATAGTGAGTAAAAGGAAGAAACTATCCCTGGCGACAGTAAACAGACGTCATTGAAGCGTAGTTTGACACTTTTTGGTTTTGCCGCGCCGCGCTCCCCTGTACGCATGCGCATTAGCAAGGTCAACTTAGAGGTCATCAAAAGTTAAGTGCTACTACTGCGTGTGACGCGGACGGCTTCCCGCGGCCGCGGGCACAATTCCCTTGACTGCGCGTGCGCGGCGTGCGGCGTGGCGGGTGGGTGTATAAAAGACAGGGCCACGGAACAGTTGAGCATCAAAATCAACTCAAAGCAGCAACCAAAAAATCTAAAAAAGCAATCCACAAACCAAAGTTACTTTGAAGAAAAGATGGAACGAGCAGTGCTTGCCCTCCTTTGCCTGTCGGCCGCTTTCTGCTTCGCCAGTGCCCAGGATCTGCCGAGATGCCCAGACGATTGGCTGACCTTCTACGCTAAGTACCAACGCGAAAATTACGCTCAAGAGTCACAATCACTGTAAGTGATGTTAGATACACTTTTGCCCACTGTCACACATAGCTACGTAGCTAAAATAGTTAACTGCAGCCACAGTTTATGAACAGTTCGCCATTGTCTTCTCTTCCAGGCTGGTTGATCAGCAATGCACCTTCGAAGTCAGCCTGTCCTTCGGACCATTTGTCGTCACTCCCACCATCTCCGTCTGCCGGCCCGGCACAGTTTCCCAATTCATCGCTCCATCACCGCGGGGCGGCGTTTACATCTGTCAGACCGTGATAAACGTGCCCGAGCCGGCTCCATTTGCCGCTCCCCTAGTGGTTAATGACATCGTTCCACCCGCCCCCTCCGCTGCCACTGAGCCACCCACCCGTCGTCCGGCTGATGGCGGAATCTCCGAGTGTCCCACCGGCGCTGTCTTCAGCAGAAACCGGTTCATTTTCTCTTCTCTGTAAGTCTCCAGTTCAACAACCATACTGCAGCTTGAACATAGCAATAATATGATCATTAAAAAAACTAGACACCATGGCCGAAAATAATTGACTGTTTCTCTCAACCCACAGACCACTCATAGAACAAGTGGAGTGTTTCATCAGAACCAGAGTTAATGGGTAAATAGAGTATAATATCCACACACATAGTAGCTACATACATTTGGTAGCACAATCCCTTTCACACTGTCTCACTGTCTCAATGATAAAGTTCACTGCTGTTAACATCTCTTTTTCTCCAATGGCAGATCTGCTGGCCAGCAGAAGACATCCTCGTGGGAATGTAAGGAGGGATACAGGATGGAGCCTGTCAGAAGGAACCAGGTCCGATGTGCAGAGCAGTAAACCACTTCACCACTGGCAAACTTCATACTAGTCATCTTTGTCAATCATGATTTCACTTGTTTTGCATAATTTTCACTTTCAAAACGTATGATTCTAGAATGCATGCGACAGCAAGACCCCATTCATGTTTGAAATTCACAAGCGATTTGTGACTGTGAAAGTCTGACAGTGAAGCCTCTGAGCAACGGATAAGGCGGACGGTAGGCGCTGCCCCCGCCCGATAGAATTCCTCTAACTCTCGAACCGCATCCGCGTAGCTGCGCGCATGCGTGACAACAGTGTCTCGGATGAAGTGTTGAAAATCCAGGTCGTTGAGGCATAGCTGCTAGGTATATACTGGTGGAAATGTTCAACATTGTTGGCGAGCGGGAGCGACCCAACTTGGGATTTGTCTGCGATGTTCGGGCTGCATAACGTGCCGTCAGCGCACAGCTTTCCTTTCGTGAAGCAAGACAGATCTACCTGTCGCCGTTACATGCGTATTGTATATTGCCAGAACGGTGAGCAGGTGAGCAGAACGGTCCTTACCTCACGCTTTCAGCTTGTCTGTCGTGGTCCACCAGGCAGCTGGCATGGCAGTAGGCTAGGCAGCGTTCGATCGGGCTGCCCGACAACGTCCATCAGGTAGCTGGCATGCAGCAGTATGTGCACGAGCAATGCTAGCGTATTTGCAGCTTGGAACCATAAGACTGGAAAGAGGTACAGCCTCCGTCAGTCACCGAAGGTTGCAGAGCATGCCGTCGAATAGAGGAGAGTTCTCTGGCTGGCTAGATCGATCGGCGCATATCGCGAGGCATGTGTGTGAAAATGTGTACAAAAGTTGGAAATAATTTCGGATAAAAAGAAGCGCGTACAAAGCCGCGCATGCGCACTTACACGACGTACGAACGCATAATACACAGAAAATTACGCTCGAACGAACGACTAGGTGTTGGCTCGCTCCCGCTCGCCAACAAAGGAACACAGTAGCTAAGTACTCTCTTCGCTCACTGGGAAGAATAGCTAAGTGGCTCTTACAGTCAAAGTAAACGCTGCTCTTGAATAGCGGCAGGAAAATGTAAACCAAAGTGCTATATATAATATCAGTCAGCGGACTCTTCATTATACACAGCTGGGTTCGCCTTTTCTTGTTCTTGTCTCAATAGCTAACATTATGATTCCAAAAAAAGCTCATGCTGGCTACATGCTGAATGTCGGTGATGTTGAATATGAGGACATTGCACTGATGAGGTCAATGCATACCTCCCCTGCATATATAGCTGACACGTTGTCAGGCTTCACCTCAACTGTGAGGTCATCACTAGCTGCTCAATTCAGGTACATAGCTACAAGGTGTTTTAGGAATTCTCATGACCGAGGTATAATACAGGCAGGAAAGTGTAGTGGCCTCCTCAGTTTAGCAGCCAATAAAAAGGAAGAAAACTCTGCAAAAAACAACCGAAGGTTTCAAAGAGTGCCGGAAGCTCAGGGTGGGGAAGCAGAACACAATAGGTATTGATGGCCAACAGTGAGCTCATTGTGCCAAGATCGTGCACGGATACCCTGAGAATGTTGGCTATGTGGTTATATTAGCCACAACTCAGATGCCATCACTGTTCAAATTTACCATACTAGGAGTTCCGAGGATCCCCCGCACCGGAAGTAAGCCCACGAATCCCTGACTACGCCTGCGTATCAAAGTGACGCCCGTGGGGGTATAAAAGGCCGGAGCAGTCTGAGCCGCAGAAACCGAAGCGAAGCAAAATCACCACTACTCACCAATCTAATTGCTTTGAAAGAGAGATGGAGCGTGCAGTTTTTGCTCTTTTTTGTCTGTCGGCCGCTTTCTGCTTCGCCAGTGCCCAGAACGAGGATCTGCCGCCATGCCCGGACGATTTCTACCTCAAAATACGACCCGAAGCTTACGACGAACGCTCACAGCCACTGTAAGAGACGTTCTTGCGGACGTAAACAGTGTAACCGTAGCTAGATAATTATAATAATTATAGTCTATATCGTATTAATAGCTAGCTAAGTGTGATATGTTTTCCAATCCAGAGTGGAACGGCAAGAGTGCCTGGCTGACCTCTCCAGATTCTTGGGCTTCCCATACATCGCCCGCACCTACTTTTACGCTTGCAACGAAGGGTTCATAACAATAAGGCCTCAACCTGCTGGGCCTTTCGTCTGCATCCCTTTCTTGGGATCTGGAATTGGGCCTGAGATCGATATCCCCGAGACCTTTGAGCGACCGAGTCTTCCAACTCCCACCCAGCCACCCAGTCGTCCATCTCCCACTGAACCTGAAGAGAGACCGACCACCTCTGGTGGGCTCTCAGAGTGTCCATCTGATTCAGTCTCCAACAGAAACAGATATGCCTACTCATCTCTGTAAGTCTCCACCCCACCTTTATATCAACCTCTAGAGTTGGGCCCCACCTGCTCAGTAATGACAGCATTCCCTGTTCCTTCCACCTACAGACGTCTTACAGTCAGGAAAAGATGCTATATAAGGACCAGAGTCCATGGGTGAGACTCAATACATTGTGCATGCAGACTCTCCAGTCCATAATACATTTGGCATGCAGACTAGTGAATGCATTTGGCAAACAGACTCTCTTGCTTTGTCACTAACATGTGTCACTGCTGCTGATTTGACTCTCTCTCCCTCCTCATATTATATAGAGCTCCGTCTCGACATACGACAACAATCTGGGAATGCAAAGATGGCTACACGAGAAACTACGTAAGAAGACAGTACGTCTGTGTGCAGGCGTAGGACTCCCTCCGTCATAATTGCCATGGGATGTGAAATTAACTCAGTGATTATTGTATTGATGTGACATGATGATTAGGAGATCATTGATTCATAAAAATTGTGAAAAAAGTTTACAAAAGGATGATTGGAAATTATGACACAGCAGTTTATACACACTTTTTCTTATATACAAAGCTTAAGAGAACATTAGCGACCTGAGATAAGGTTTGGGTATATAGGGTGCTCCAACTACAGCCTGAAACTCTTTGCAACGAGCTGTCTCGGGTGAAGAGGAGGGGGAGGAGGAGGAGCTGTCAAAGACTACTGCCAGAGGCAGAGAACTCAAAATATGACAGAGAGCTCAGCCAGCCGTCGAGCAGTGGGGGGAAAAACTCAAACCGACTCGCAGCCTGTGCACTGGGGTTGAACGTGATATCGGTGAGAGTGCCATTAGTGAAGACCTCCCCCGACTGAACCGAGACCACGCTACAAGTACCCCTCGAGTTGCTGGCCAGCACAGCGTACAGACTCCCAATTGCGACACACTGAGTGTCGCTGGGAAGGTTGAGCTCGATGAATCGGCACACACCTCCTCTTCGCAACTGGCGAGGCTCCAGATGTAGAGGTAGTTCTCATGGAGAAGTCCGAGACGGAGCGAGTCACCCGACAAGACAAATTTGGAGGGTCCTCCACGGCTAGGAGTGCTGGACAACATATCGATGTGACCGGTGGTGCGAGTAGGGTTAAAGAGGTGGAGGGGTTTGGAGAGCTTCACGTCTGGAAACAGACGATGAGATATGAGCGTGGCCTCCCTTTTTGGCACTGCCTCCAGACGATGTATGGCGACAGTGTTGTCAACCTGTAATAGAACTCTGTGCGCCTCGCAGAACCCTCTCCCCGATTTAGGTCTCCTCTCCGGGAGAAGAGTGACCTCGCCGCCGAGAAAATGGCGTATCTTTGCCCCCCACTTCTGGATGTGCTCCAGCGGGATGGGGTAGACAGTCTTTCTGGCAGCTGTTTTTCCACGGGTGAGCTTGACTACCTGCAGATCCCACACCTCACAGTCATCTTCTGCCTCAGACACTATAACCACCAGGTGGCAGGTGGGACAGACGGAGATGCTGTGAAAAACCTGCGAGACTGGTTCGTCGTCCCACTGGCTGACTAACCCATCGGACTCCTCCGCGATGCTGCAGCTGTTCCACTTCCCGCACAGCTGCTTCCACATGATGCGCGTGTCTGACGCCGCAGCCCACTTGACTCGGCTACTGAAAGGCACAGTGGTAAAAGAAGCCACTTGAACTGGCACGTTGAGCGTACTCATTTTCTCTACGGTAATTCCAGCATGGGAATTAGTCTCTTCGTAGCGTAGGGTCACCCCCTTGCCGGCATAATGGTAGCTGTAGCGAGGACCGGTAGGGCATTGGGCCACAGGAAACCCACGAACAGCCAGTGAATTCAGGTATTTCTGATGGGCCCTGGTTGCAATACACAGATCTTTGAGCGACTTGTACTTGGACATGTTCTCGCTCTTGAAGGCCTCGCTGAGCCCAACATCTCCGGCCATTCCCTCCCACAGCTCCGTGCAGCCGCCCACCCTCTCGTTCCATTTCTTGCTGACCAGGAGACACGTGCACGCCTCGTCGATAGTGAGGTAGGACACGACCTTGTGGGCCAGGCCCGGCGGGAGGTCACCCAGGAAATCCCTGTAGAGAACTCTGTTTAGTTTCTCCACGAAGTCGAGCTGCTGTTGGTAGGAGCACTGCTTCACCAGCTCGACCAGGGAGTCAGCGCGGTGGCACGGCTCGATCTTGTTGAACTCCTGCGACAGAGCCGACCCCATACCGAACACGAGCTGGTGACGCTTTGTGGAGCTCGGCAGCTAGCCAGAAGTCTACTTCAACACAGCGCGTTGCTCCTCTGCAGCATGCACGTGTGCACGTATGTACACGTGAAGAACTTCGTTATGATTATAAGTCTCAGAACATGTCAGACATGTGATCACAGCTAGCTTGCCAACAACTAAATTTTCCTGCGCATGCGGAAAATGAAAACCCAACAATCAGTACTTACTGGCGGAGTTTTCCCCTTCGTGATCAAATAGAAGGGCAGAGAGTCGTGTCTGGAGGTACTGCCGCGGCTCATCGTAATCAGCAGGGGCCCCGCATGACTCACCCACAGTCAACCCAATTAGATCTAAATCACAGGGTCTCCCCTCATTATAGATCCTCTTCAGTGACTTGTCTGGTGCCCTGATGATCTCATAGCCTCTCTCTAGTAGGGCACTGTGCACCTCTTCCATGTGAACCTCGTTCAACATTCCCTTCAGCTCCGTCTGAGAGCTGAGTGTCAGGAGATCAGCGGCAAAGACACAGGCAATTGAGTAGGAGTCCACCAACCAATGCCCGGTGTGCTGGGAGACCGACCCTTCAATTAGGGAGTGATTAAGAGAGGTTAGGAGGGCGGGGTTTCTGAGGGAGAAGACAACGGGGAAGTATGTCTGCTGTCCTTGGAGTGGGAAATGGCGACATCGCTCGAGGAATGCCTCGTCGAAATGAAGGTCGAGGTCAGCAAGGAAGAGAATTTCACTGGGTCGGGATTCGCGCAGGGCGATCGCGATTGTGTGGGAGCGAGACAGGAGAGCCGGGGACTCTAACAGAGTAAAGGAGGCTGTCGTGTACTTGCTGCGGTAGAGAGAGAAGAGAGATTTGGCGTCGACGGTACTCTGAGTCCGTCTAGGTTTCTGTTTCTCTGCCACACTCCTCATCTGCACAGCCACCAGACTGATCCTCTCGTCTCTGTCAAGAGTCGACTCCAGTCTCCCCAGAAACTCTTGGAGCTTCTCAACATGTTCACTCGTGAAACACACAACTATTGTGACGTGGGCTCCGACCGGAGGGAGGGTGTGGCTTATTTCAGGAGGGTTCAAAGGCCGCGAAAATGTTATACGGTAACGATTAGTGTGATGTTTATAATCAGCTGCATCAGGTCGACTTGTCTCAAAATCGATGATGTAATGAATAGCAGTCTGGGGATCCACCCTCCAATAAGTATTAACGACTCTCTTATAAACCTGTTGTGTGTCCTCCTTTGTACTGATGTACTGCACAGCTTTCTCGACCATGTTCCCGACCTCTGACCTCCAGACCCCAGGGATCTCTCTTGTGGGAGTAAACTCCTCATCCGACAGTAATTTCTCGTGATTAACCAGTTTCCAGGACACGATGTCATCGATAGAGACCACTTCTGACTCCCCACCATCTCTGAGAGTGGTGGGAGATAGAGTGTGCCTGCTGGAGTGAGGCAGAAGCTCTGTCATTCTGTCCAGGGCCACCTTGAGACGGTGCATCTGGTGTTGAGTTGAGTTGAGTCGACTCCCTACCACTGCCTGGTGGACACTGTACATTGTCTTGGTATCGGGGATGGGGGAAACTGTGAGTGCAGAGGTTAGAGTCCCAGCATTTGTCTTGTCCGTGATTGAAAATTTGAGGTCAGTGTCAACCAGCACAAAACTCTGGAGACCCTGCAAAATTTGAGAATAGCTAAACATAAACTTATCCTCGAAAAAAGGACACCTCTCTACAATGGACTCTTGTTTGAAACGGGTGATATAATACTTAACCTCAAAAAAGGACACTTTCGTATACAGTAAATTTCTCACTCATACAGTGTGACCTTTATTCAGAGGTTCCACTGTACCACTAGGGAGAGAGAACTTGCCTCCGATTCGAGCTCGTTGCAGTCCTGGCCCAATGTGTCGGTTAGACAGGCTCCAACCCCCTCTCCTCTCCGTCTGCATGTTTCCAGCTCTCCACAGAGTTCACGGAGTACAGAGTGACTGAGAACCATCCCTGGACCCTCTAAACACTCCCTTCTAGCAGAATCCTCGTCTTTACTTCTTCTCCCGAGGTACCCTAACGTCGGCATATTCTCATATCTCTGTAGCTGAGATTCCAACTCGTTTGACTTTACATAGACGTCGTCTCCGGCTAGCAGGTACCATTTCGTGTGGTTCAGTTTGTGTCTGCACACATGTGACACAACCTCACTGTAGAAATCAGCACCGGTGCTGGACAGTTCTATCACCGCCTCACTGCTCTCAATTTCCCCGTAGTGTCTGTCTTCAATATCTTCCTCTGTAGGTACGTCTTCTCCAGCCTCTGAATTTATATAGTACCCGACCCTATGGGAAGGAATTTCACGAGTCCACGTCTCTTTCAGGACGTTTAGCTGGTCCGCTGAGTGACGGTGGCTCATTACCACTGCGTAATATACGGGGCCTTTCGCATTAGCTTCGTCCGCTAGTTTCGCGGGCGGGTGCGGGACCCCGTCGCGTGCGGCTCCCAACTCCGTCAGTAGTCGTTGCAAGTCTCTGCCCTCGCCGAATCGGCTCGCGACCGACTCCCCTCCTCTCTCGGGTGACGGCAGTTCCAGGTAGACATTGGTGATGGCCGTGTAAGGCTGGAGAAGAAACACGGTGGAAAACGCCACGCCGATCAGGACCCCTGCTAGCATAGGGATCAACGCCCAGTGTAGTGCCGGCGCCGTCGCTCGGTGACTTCTATCTCTTTCGCTGCGTAACATCCTCCAGCCTAAACTAAATTCATCTTGACGACTATGGAATGTCAGCAGATGCGTGCAAGAAACGGCAGAATCCGAGAAGACATATATACCAGATGATGACAGAGGAATGAGACATGATTGGTGCATAATAATTGTGCTATTTGTTTTCTCTTCAACGTCCTCTGCTTCTCTCCGTGCTCCACCAACTTTTCGTCTACTGCCAGTCCTTTCCTCTTCCTTACTGCATTCATATACCTGCACCATACACCAGTGACACATAGGTAGTATAGAGAACATGGAGTTAAATAACCTGCGAGCCAGATTTTCAGAGTCTGCTTTCTCTCCGAAATGAAGCAGCTCCTCTTCCGATGAAGGGACCCAAAATGGATCATTTGGAATCACCTGAAAAATAAAAAATTCTACTTCATATTATACATATCTACACATAAAATTAATTAACACTCCAAACCCATTGAGTGTTGGTCAGCTTATATATACATATAATCTACCTCCCAGTGGCTGAAGAAGAGCTGAGGGCTGGCCAATCCACTCGTCTTCTTCCTCACCTCCTCTGCGAACCCAAAACTCTCAGCCACGGGGACCAGAGCCTGGATACTGAACACCGTGGAGCCCTCCCTCATCTCCTCCGCACACACCCTCCCGTTCCTCCGCCCGAGAACGGCGTACAGCTTCCCCAGGACCTCTGCTGTCGCCAGGATGTTACACGTGTACATGGCTGACATTAGTCTCGCCGGCTGCACTTGAAACGCTCGCCGACAACCTTCCTTCACGGTCGAAATAAGCTGCCCGGAAAAAGGACCGTAGCTGCCTGCCACCGTCTTCACTACCGGTGGAGTTGTATCTTCAGATAAAGACTTGTCCCCTGTTGTCTCTCCTCCTTCACTGGCAGCAAAGTTCCAACCTCTCAGGACGAAGCAGACACCGCGAAGAGGCTCCTCGCAGAGTGGCCCAGCCTGACAGGCCAGCTGAAACCCGTACACCACGCTGTGATGGTACCCTTGAGGTCCCTCTCTCCCTCCCTCCACTCCCCTCCACACCGAGCCCCTCCTGTACTCCGACAGCCCACACAACAGAACATTGGTTCCCGTTGACTTTGGCCCAAACCCCCAAATCCTACCCAGAAAATCATCACTGAATTCCGACCAGCTCTCTTCGGACGAAAAACCCTCCTCCAAATCTCGACGGAGTTTCTTGAGTTTTTCAAGAGTTTCGCTGCTCAAGAGCACTTGGCCCTTCCCGCCACTGGAGCTGGTAGTGAGGTAGAGTGCCTTAAGTAGAGCTGTGCTACTGGAAAGAAGACCAACGACTCTTTCTGGCAGAGGTTTTGCCTGTATGAGTAGCGTACAGGCCTTGTTGGGAGTCTGGACCGTTACAATCTCACCCTCTGCCCTCTCTCCCTCGCTCAAGAGAGGATTCACGGGCGCTAGTTTGACAACGTTTTCCTCCGAGATGACCTCATTGAGTGTGTCGAGTTTCGGTGGAGGGATGATGGTCTCGCGAAACGGGACAATCGGAGCCGAGACGCTCAGGGTCACCTTTGCAAACGTGTCCCGTAGGTCGTCGAGACATCGCTGCAGGTGCACCTCGCCTGCGGTAGAGAGAATGTACTCACCAGTTGCTTGGAGAGAAATCTCAACGCTGGCGTCGGCTTGATTGAGAAGGGACATTCCTCGGGAGAGCGCGGCGGTATCGCTTGCGTTGTTCGGCTCCACGGCAACTCGCAGGATCGGAGCAGCTGCGAAACTCATTGGTCTGAAGGCGGGGCAGGCCAGGGATGTCGAGACCGTCGCTGATTTCAAGATGTGTTGGTCGAGGCCGCCGATTCCGAGGACGTTACCAGCTGGAACTGACTCCACTTGCACCACACCTCTCCCCATTAGAATGTAGAGCTCTGTGATTTTCACCTTTGTTGCGTACCTCTCTGCACCCCCACCTCCGTCAGCTCCAACTCCATTGGCGTTCCCGGGGCCTACGTGACCAAGACTGGAGCTACCTGCTGGGTCATCTTGGCAAAGCCGGGGATTATCGAGGTCCATTTCCTGAGGGTCGTAGCGAGGTTGCAGCACATACACCTCCTGCCCCCTGCGGAGTGTGCCGCTGTAGATCCTGGCAAATGCCAAGAACACAGACCTTTCCTCCTCTTCTTCCCTCTTCTCACCATCTTCTTCTCCTTCTTTCTGTGATTTCTCTAAAAAGATACACTCAACTCTCTCTCTCTCTCTCCTTTTCTGACTCACCCGTTGAAGATAAATTTTCCTGATCTTTCAGCCTCTGTTTCACAGCTGCCCTTCTCTTGGCTATCTCCTCCATTGTCAGAGGCCTGTAGTACAGCAAGTCACATGATGTCACATGATGTTCACCCGATGATCACGTGACAGTCATGTGATCTACCTGCTCTGGTTCTGCGGTAGCATGGAGTGGTCAACACAGAACAGCTTCGACACAAATCCAATGGTTGGAGCATCTTCTGACGAACTACATACAAGGAAATCTGTTTGAGAAAAGACAACTTAAAATTTCGGTGTTTTGGCATAAAACCCAGCACAAATTTAGCAGTTTCAAAGTCGACTGCCAAAGTTTTTTTCTGAAATTCTTGTTAGCTATAATATTCTAGTTTCCTCTCTCGAAAGGTATCTGTTACACTCTGTACTGACCTCTGCTGAGTTGCTGTGTCTGGACAGGGAAGGAGTCGAAGGACTGAGCAGTTGAACACATGAGTCTCTCCACTCGAGAGGGCTCCAATTGGAGCGGGGAGGGGAGGTGGGAGGTTGCCATGGCGAGGACCGCGGGGGCCAGCGGGAGCCACTGACTGCAGATGGCGGCAAGGTGCACGCGAGGGTCGGTATGCCGGGAGTCTCTAGCCGGGATCTTTAGCCCCAGACTACCCACAATCTTCTCAATCTTTGTCTTGTCTCTATAGCGACAGAGAAGACAAAGATGATAAACAAGCGCAGTGCTAATCGCTGGCACTGAGATATAATGGAGAAAGTTGCTGACCTTTGCAGCACCACAGCATCATAGACTGCCCATATATTGTCCAGAACGAACTGAACAAATAGTGGCTTCTTAGCTTTGGCCTGCAGCAGAGAGTGTTGATGGCGTTGTGTTAAATTCTACAGCAGCAAAAACTAGCTCATATTTGATGCTTGTCTCAACAGGGCACAAAGTTTTTGCAGGCTTCAAATTTTCTCCTCAAAAGCAATGTTTCACACCTAATCACAAGGTATGTATGTATTACAAAGAGCCAAGTACTATATATACCGTAGCTCCTCTGAATATTCTCTTGGCTTTAGAATTGAGGTAGAAATTGCCCCAGAGGGTCCTCTGCAAGACCTCTTGCCTGATCCCAAGCTTCTTGGAATACAGCTCAGCAAAATGACTCACTCTGGGGTCACGTGACAGTCACGTGAGAGTCACATGACATGGTAATTTCCCAGGGTCTTACCCAAAGCCCCAGCCGTCGAGAGCAGAGGCGAAAACGACGTTTCCTGCTTCAGGAGAGAAGTAGAGTGCTGAGTCATCAGTCTCATCAAGACCGTCACTCCAGTCATACATCACTTCCTCCTACACAGGAAACAAAACGGTACAATATACTGTTATGCAAGGATGACATTAGAAGTTCCAATGGTGCCTAGCGTTAGCTGGTTTCTATGGTATCATAATAGTAAGTCCACCCAAAATGAGTAGGTGACAATTCCATATTGGGTGTAGAGGAAGTGAGAAGGATTATGAACAGGAAGTGAGAAGGATAATGTAAAGGTACCACAAACGTCATTAGCAATGCCATGGCAACAAAGAGGAAGTGGTTACTACCAACCTCCTTATCGCCCTGGGTGTCAGCTCTTGAACCAATCTAAGGAAAGATGAAAACCACTGAAGTCATAAGGCCAGCTGCTACAGAGACTAATGCATGACTATATAGGATTATGCGTGATGAAATCATTAATCTATGATGTCGTGCTACAAGTCATGTGACGTGTACATATGGCGGTCTAAACAAGTTACGTCTTTGGAGTTGGCAGCTGCTTCCATGAGCTCTGAGGTGAAGAGTCCGCCTGTTATGGCGTTCACCTGTAGATAGACACACACACACAGTCACAGGGCAATATACTGCATGTAGTACAACAGCATGTGATCTGGTTTACTGACTACAAGTGCACAGAGGTCACACACCCTTCCAGTTACGGCTGAAACATTCCTCCTTATTAGACTCACATCACCTCCCTTCACCCTCGACTAGAATCACTATACCTTATAAGCTATACCAGGTCACTCATGCACACACGTTACTCTAGTCTCCACCAATGCAGTGTGTGGAGACTCACCCACATTTCAAACCGGGACCTTTATAGGCAGTGGAGTCTCTCTCATCAGGTGAGTGAGGAAGGAAAGGGGGGAGAGAGGGAGAAAAGACAGACCATGGGTGTGGGCTATATTAGGAGAAAACCTGTGTGGAAACTTTGCCACGCAAAGTTTGCATACTCTACAACTGTTCACTAAATATTATCAACTAGAACGAGGAAGCAAGTCCATGTCGCTCAACCAAAGATAACACACACACTCCAATTGGTTCACTAAAGAGTATTTGGTACTAGTTGATAAAACTAACAGGAGGAAGCTAGGAAGTTCACTCAGGCATTTCCAATGGAGGGTCTCCTCCACACCCAAACCCACCTGCTCTAGGAGATCCTGGAGACGGTAGTATGCCTCTGTTGGTGTGTACTGCAGTTCAGTGATCAGTCTATCGATCTTGTTGATCACGAGACACGGCTTGATCCCTTCCAGCCAGGCCTGCTGTAACACGGTGTGAGTCTGAGGAACAGACGAAGGAGAGAGAGGGAGAAACCGCTGTTGACTTGATGATTAAAATGTGGGTGTGGCTTAATTACCTGTGGACACACCCCCTCCACAGCATCGACAAGAACAATGGCACCGTCACACAGTCGCACTGCAGTGGATACCTGCAACAGTTCACTGGGTCTTATCATTTCATGGAGGGCGCTAAACGAATTTCACAATTCTCTGTTGTTCCCTCAAGAATTCTGACCACAATACTCTCTGGGTTAAGTCCCAATCAGTGAAACTAAGCTACTGTGAAAGTGAATTTCAATATTATAGGTATATTGGATGTGAGCACATTGTTCTTTCTGAGAAAATGTGCAAAATCGCTGATCCGCAACAAAAACCTCAAAAACTTGTGTCATGACGACATACCTCACTGGAGAAGTCAACATGTCCCGGTGAGTCAATCAGGTTTATCAGAAACTCCTCCTCGCCTATATTTCGGTGACATCACTATATATGAGGTAATGTGTCATGAGAGAGGTGACTGACCGTTTGTGTAGTGGAGGGCAATGGCCGAAGACTTCATTGTGATTCCTCGCAGCTGCTCGTCTTCCCTGCAGTCCATGTAGCGGAGCTGTGGAAGAAGGGAGAAAGAGAAGCAAAGTCACTTCTCTATTAGGAGCCTACTGCTTTTCACTGCTTGATTCCATACACAAAGTAACTAAGTAGCAGCAAGTAGCAGAGTCGCCCTGTGCAAGACTCCTTCTCTAGGAGAATGTTGCCGCAATTAGAAGGCTGTTCTCGCGACTCTGTTTGGCTCTCTAAGACGCCTCGTGCATGAACAGTAGCCTTACGCCACATCAAGAGGTGGTCATTTTGGTCTCAGTTTGTACAAATCGCAATGCATAGCTTTTGTTGTAGAGTAAAACTGTTTAATATACACAAATTATACTCCACCAGTGTCTACAAACCTTCCCAGCTTGTCTCTGAGAGATTATTCCATTGCTGGCCACAAGAGAGTCCACAAGAGTCGTTTTCCCTGACAACGGAAAGGCAGTGTGCAAACACTGGTAA